ACTCTAAATCTTGATCTATAATTAAAAGCTGTAAATACAGTGTAAGAGTAGCACTGTGCTGCTGATATGTATTAAGCAATGTAGCACCATGACAGGGCTTCTATCTTGAAGTAATTTTTCCTGTGATTTTTCTCAGCTTGAAAATATGTGAATAGAGTTCTGGGTTTTGGTTGTTTTTTTCTATGGTCTTTTCCCCACCTAAGTGCTTTGTTATCGGTGTCCATTCCTGAATTGGAGATACTGGTAGCAAAAGGGATCTGTAAGGTACCTACTGCTGATACTTCGGAGAGAAACTGAAATACAGAGCAAGTTCTTTTTATGAAAAGGTGCCACAAGGAGTTGGTGTCAGAAGAAGGGATTCTGACTGAGATCTCCTGACTCCCATGATCTGACCATTAGGCCTTTTGAAACTAATACTACCAACCTTTGCAGAATGGTTTGATGGATTCTCCTACTACGTCCATGCTGGCATCCCCTGGCATGTTTTGGGTCGTTAGAACGAGAGGCATTTGGCATGTTTTTCATGTTCATTATAGCTGTTTCAAATAGGTAGTTTATACCCATTCTGTCAGCAAATGGCTGACCCGTGTACAGCTTTGAGGACCAGATTCCATCTCTGACTGAATGGGATGCAAGCGTTGCCCTCAGCTAATGAAAACAACAAACAGTAGTCATTGGGACACTGGTCAGTTGTTCTCCCGTATATCACAGGAGCTTACTAATAGAAGAGTCCTGCTGTTCTTTACAACAATATGTATTGCTCCACTCCAGATACTGTTCAGCTGGCATTGATCTGTCACGTAGACTACAAGCAAATCAATTATGGGTTATAAGTTTAAGGCAATTGCTAAATTGTTGCTTCCAAACCAGTTGTTGGCTTACAAAGCAGTTTCTGCGTGGTGGTATCCTAGGCTTCTAAGTACAAGGTGTTCTTTTTGATCTGTTTTAAAATAGCTGAGAAGCAGGTTTGCTAGTGTGTATGCTGTTCTCTGCTTCTGCAAGGGTGTTTCCTCAGCTGCTTTATCAGCTTCTGAAGATAAGGGGCAGGCATGTGTCCCTCCCAGCTGCTCTGCCCTCGCAGGTGAGGTCAGGGAGAGACTTCTTTGCTGCAGCGGCTGAGCGGACTGGTCTGCAGTCTTGACATGCTCCCTTTGATGCTTCTGGTACCAGATTCAGGCTTTGAGTGTCTGGCTTAATTAGACTGATCCCAGAGAATGGTGTTGGAACTGGATTAAACATCTGGTTTTGCAGGAGCTCTGTGCGTGTGGCTGGATGTCTCTTACCCCTCCCGTGCTCTGTCAGCAACACAGTCTGCTTGTTTCCCAGCCTGCTCCTGATGAAATCAGCCTGTTTTATTTAAAGCAGCTATTTAAATTGCTTACATTAAGGTGGCTGATTTTGACTGAAGTGGATTAGGGGTTGTTCAGGAGTGGTGAGAGCTCTGGTAGAAGTGCTGTTACAAGCAGCTGTCTTATATTTCTCCTTCTATTTGCAAAGTAACCATCTTTCTACAATCTTAACTGGTAGTAAAACCTGTGGAAAGCAGCACCTGGCCCAGTACCTCTACCTGGGGATTGTCTTCTCCCTTCTTCACCTCCGTGCTTGGCAGAGGTGCTGTGAGCCTGCTCAGACACACTGAAAGCTTTTGTCTTTTCTAGTTGAGCCCGTCCAAAAGTATTTAAAGGCTCTGCACCCACTTTCAGGCTTTTGTTTACAGTGCCTTGAGAATCGTGCAGAGGATTCTCCAGGACAGTGGGGACTTGTTAAGTGGCTGGACTGTGTGTTTCTCCTCTGAAAATCTGCACGTGCATTGTGGAGATTGTGAATGTTAATTTTTGTGTTTGGCGTTTAGCCCACATTAAAGTCACAATGCTATCAGTGCCCTTTGGGTTCTAAAGACGTGAAGGAATTGTGCCTTACTGCTTGCACTCTGGGCTTAAAAACAGCAGGGAAGGCTTGTGGTCTATTACAACTGGGTTCCATGTTTGTACCATCCAACCTGAAAAAGCAGTGAGCTATCTCACACGCCTCTGAGCTCTGCACAAGATGTTTTTGCATAATTGCCATCATGGTGATCCTCGTTCAGATTTGTGCAATAAAAATACCAAGCTTTCTACACTGAAGGGAAATAAATAGTTTGTGAAATTTTTGAAAGGTTATATAAAATAGTAACAAATCAAGATGCTGGTAGTGCCTTTAAGATGGATATTCATCTTTGTTTTAATCTATTGCTGTAAACATTAGCAGTTCTCTAGATATTAAATTTTATGCTGTTCAGAACTATCACTTTTAATAACTTTGAGAATTTAAATGACTTAATGATTATTAAATCAGAATGATACTACAGTGGTTTTATATATATAAAATTTTTATACAGTTTTGTTGCCAGTGGTGCCTTGAATTTCCATATAAATAATTTTGAAATGCTTAAATATTTTTTCAATTCTAAACCTGTGGTCTTTTTTAATGTATTATGCTTTTTTGGTCTAAAGAACTTTCTAAAATATTTTGTAATCATTTTTTAAATAAAGTATTAGTAACTTCAGCGTTTCTCGTTTCTGCTGCTATGATTTGGTGTTGCTATGTAGTTCTACCAGAGCCAGCCCTAGGAAATAACGTCATTCTTTGTTCCTGGTTTGGAGGGAAGAGCTTGCGTTGGTTTTGCCCGTTACTGGGGAAGAGGGTCCAACTTGCAAAGCTGGAAATTCTCACTGAAAGCTTCCGGGGGAAAGGTCAGATAAGGTCAGTATTGCCTCTTACCACAGGGTCCAACCAAACTAGTTTGCAATAGCCCTTACACCTACCGTGGTCTATAGGTTACTGTGACAAGCGTAATTCAAGTGCTGCTTTCCCAATGTCATGATTAGTTGGAGCTCGAAAAAAATCAAGCGGCAGACTTGTTAAAGGAAGGAGCACAAACTAGCAAAAGGTGTTAAGAGCAAATAATTTCTTCAGTGTAGAAAAATGCAGGTGACAAAGTTACTTGGTTGAGGGGGAGCCGCTGGATCCTTTAA